ACATACACACACACACCACCCCACACCACACTTCGCCCCGGCCTGCATTTTCCGGTGACGCTGTGTTTTGCCTGGGCTGCCGGCTGAACCAGGGTTCCCGAACGGACGTGACCCAGATTTCCGGCTTATGTAAGCATCAAAGGGCAGGGGCGAAATCTCCCGCGCCAACCGCACAGCTGTGTTCTTGGAGAGTGTGGACCGCCGACACCCGTCCCGGGGCTCCAGGAATCCGGGGGGGGGGGGAGAGAGAGAGAGAGAGAGGCACACAGCACCCCAGAGCCAAGTGAAGAACCCCACAGCCCGAGGGACCCGAAAAGAGGCCCCTATGTCTCCCCCCTCCCGCCCACCCTTCCCTCCCCTTCCTCCAGCTGATATTTTTATTTTTATTTGTTTATTTGCTTTTTGGGTCCCACCCAGCGATGCTCAGGGCTGACTCCCGGCTCTGCACTCAGGAATCCCTCCTGGAGGTGCTCGGGGGACCCTAGGGGATGCCGAGGATCGAACCCGCGTCGGCCTGTGTGCCAGGCAAACGCCCTCCCCGCTGTGCTATCGCTCCAGCCCCCGAAAAAACACTTTGAACAGCGTTTTTTTTTCAGCACATTTGCAGTTAATAATAATAACAATAATAAGAATGATAATAAAATAGAGAGGAAGGAAGGATTCTCAGCCAGCTCCCTCTTTAGGGGCTCATTCTAATTCTGCATCGATGTCGGATTTTCTCCTGGAGCCTGGAGTCCAGTGTCGGAAGGGGCTGAGGGCAGAAGGGATCTCCAGTGGGAGCTTCTAGAATGTTCCTCTACTCCTCCACTTGCTGACGGAGGAAGTTTTGCATCTTGTTCTGATTCCTTCTCTCTCCACAGCACCTGGGGGCGAGGAAACTGTTTTCTGGCTAGGGCGGTTCGGAGACTTAGAGCATCATTTGGGGAGCATACGGCAGGGGGACCACCAGCAACGGACAGGAAGTATCTGTGACCCTCCCGTCACTCACCAGGGCCAACACCAAGATTTCCCGCGACCTCAGATGGCCTTTGAGCCAGGCAGTGCCTGGTTTAGGCCTGAGCCAGAATGTTCTGGGGTTTACCTGTCGTGGCTATGGTTGTGATTCTCACAACCGTGATAACCAGAGTTTAGAAAACGTGTTTGGAGGGTTAACACAGCAGTGGGGAGGGCCTTGACCTTCTAAGACCCTGCCTGACCCGGGTTCGATCCCCGGCATCCCATAGGGTCCCCCGAGCACTGCCAGGAGTGATTCCTGAGTGCAGAGCCAGGAGGAACCCCTGAGCATCGCCGGGTGGGACCTGGAAATTGAACTAAAAGAAAAAAAGAAAATGTGCTTTGTACCATGAGCCTTTCTGGAACCTTCCCTTGTTAACAGAGAGTGAGGCCCTTCCACTCGGCTCTTCAAATTCAGATTTCCTCAGCATTTAAAACTTAGCTGTGGGGGTCCCCTCCACACCTCTCTCTCTCTGTCCCTCTCTCTCTCCCTCCCTCCCTCCCTCTTTCTCTCTCTCTCTCTCTCTCTCTCTCTCTCTCTCGTTCCTGAGATTAGTCAGGAACAGCGTTTTGTTTTGTTTTTTTTTTTGGGTCACACCCGGAGATGCACAAGGGTTATTCCTGGCTCTGCACTCAGGAATCACTCCTGGCAGTGCTCAGGGGACCCTATGGGATGCTGGGAATCGAACCCGGGTCGGCCGCATACAAGGCAAACGCCCTCCCCGCTGTGCTATTGCTCCAGCCCCACACACTGATGTTTTAGTGAACAGAAATTTAAGGGGAAAAAAAGTTTGTTGTCAAAAAAGCCCAAATAAACTTTTACCTAGGTCCCTCGTGGAGGAAGAATCGGGCGTTGGTGTCTGTGTGGGCACCCTGGTACCCAGCATTCTAACCCGTAAGCTGCATCACCAACCTCTGATGCATTTTGTTCTATTTATTCATTTATTTATGGCTTTTGGGGCCACACCTGGCAATGCTCAGGGCTGACTCCTGGCTCTACACTCAGGAATCGCTCCTGGCGGTGCTCGGGGGGCCCTATGGGATGCCGGGGATCGAACTTGGGTTGGCCGCGTGCCAGGTCAACGCCCTCCCTCTGTGCTAACGCTCCGGGCCTCCCTCTGACGCATTTTGGAAAAGATGCAAAACCATTAGTGCCAGAGCTATCGGACGTCCCTGGTGCCAGACAGCGCCTGCCCTTGCCGTGAAATCTGTTTGCAGAAAGTGGAGTTATTATTTGATTAGAGGAGGGTGCACTCGGGGTTAAGATAATTTACAAACATTGAAAAATAAAAGCCGTGAGAAGAAGCACAAGCTCTCCACACAGATGATTTCTCTGACTCAATCTTTTTCCTCCTTTCCTCCCTCCGTGGCTGTGGGAAGCTTGAGTTAGAAATGTACGCATTGGGGGCTGGAGCAATAGCACAGCGGGGAGGGCATTTGCCTGGCATGTGGCCGACCCGGGTTTGATCCCTGGCATCTCATAGGGTCCCCCAAGCACCGCCAGGAGTGTTTCTTGAGTGCAGAGCTGGGAGTCAGCCCTGAGCATCGCCGGGTGGGACCCAAGAAGCAAAATAATAATAATAATAATAACAATATCTGGTCCATCACCCAGTTCAGCACCTTGATCAATATCTGATCCATCCATAGGGGCTGGAGCAACAGCACAGTGGGGAAGGCGTTGGCCTGGCACGCAGCCGACCCAGGTTCGATCCCCAGCTTCCCATAGGGTCCCCCGAGCACTGCCAGGAGTGATTCCTGAGTGCAGAGCCAGGAGTGACCCCTGAGCATCGCCGGGTGTGACCCCCCCCCCCTCAAACAACTTGAGGCTCGAGGCCCTCCCGTTGATCGTCGATTTGCTCGAGTGGGCCCAGTAACGTCTCCATTGGAGACTTTGTTGTTACTGTGTCTGGCATATCGAATACTCTCGGTAGCTTGCCGGGCTCTCCGAGAGGGGCAGAGGAATCGAACTCGGGTCGGCCATGTTGGCCGCTTGTAAGGCGAACGCCCTACCGCTGTGCTATCGCTCCAGCCCCCAATGCGTACATTTCTAACTCAAGCTTCCCACAGCCACGGAGGGAGGAAAGGAGGAAAAAGATTGAGTCAGAGAAATCATGAAACACTGATTTCCTCAACAACAAATAAAAATAGTTTACTTATTTATTTTTTGCTTTTTGGGCCATACCCGATGATGCTCAGGGGTTCCTCCCGGCTCATGCACTCAGGAATCACTCCTGGCGGTGCTCGGGGGACCCTATGGGATGCTGGGAATTGAACCCGGGTCAGCCGTGTGCCAGGCAGACGCCCTCCCCGCTGTGCTAGTGCTCAGGCTCCTAAATTGTTTTGTTTTTTTTTTAAAGTACATATTGGGGGGCTGGAGAGATGGCACAGCGGGTAGGGCGTTTGCCTTGCACACGGCTGACCCGGGTTCGATTCCCAGCATCCCATAGGGTTCCCCGAGCACCGCCAGGAGTGATCCCTGAGCACAGAGCCAGGAGTCAGCCCTGAGCATCGCCGAGTGAAGTCCCAAAGCCACAGTAACAATAGTGGTGATGATGGTGATAATAACAATAAAAATAATAAATTCGCCATCCCTATCACTATCATCCCATTATTCATCAGTTTGCTCGAGCGGGCCCAGTAATGTCTCCATTTTGAGAATTGTCGTGACTGTGTTTGGCATCTCGAAGATGCCACGGGGAGCTTGCCGGGCTCTCCGAGAGGGGCAAAGGAAATAAAATAAAAATAAACGGCGCAGGGCTGGAGCAATAGCACAGCGGGTAGGGCGTTTGCCTTGCACGTGGCCAACCCGGGTTCGATTCCCAGCATCCCATATGGTCCCCCGAACACCGCCAGGAGTAACTCCTGAGTGCAGAGCCAGGAGTAAGCCCTGTGCATTGCCAGGTTGTGAACCCCCCCCAAAAAAAAGAAAAAAAAAGAAAGTACATATTGGGGGCCAGAGAGAAAGCACAGTTGGGTAGAGCACTTTGCTGCATGCGAACCCAGACTGATCTGGGTTCGATTCCCAGCATTTCATCCAGTCCCCTGAACCCTGTTAGGGGTGACCCCTCAGCACAGAGCCAGGAGTCAGTCCTGAGCACTATTGGGGGGTGTTCTGGCTCAAACAAACAAACAAAGACTTCTGGAAGTAGCTATGGGACTGATCTCTGAGGTTGGTCTGGGAGAGACGTCTTAGCAAGAGCACCTGGGCACTAAGAACTGTCTTTTTTTAAATTATCATTTTATTGTTTTTGCTTTTTGGGTCCCACCCGGCGATGCTCAGGGCTGACTCCTGGCTCTGCACTCAGGAATCACTCCTGGTGGTGCTCGGGGGACCCTAGGGGATGCCGGGGATCGAACCCGGGTCGGCTGCGTGTCAGGCCAATGGCCTCCCCACTGTGCTATTGCCCAGGTCCCTGGTTCATCACTCTTTATTGATTGATTGATTGATTGCTTTTTGGGTCCCACTGGGTGATGCTCAGAGCTGACTCCTGGCTCATGCACTCAGGGATCACTCCTGGCAGTGCTCAGGGACCCTAGGGGATGCCAGGGATCAAACCCAGGTCGGCTGCGTGCCAGGCAAACGCCCTCCCTGCTGTGCTATCGCTCCAGCCCCTATGAATGGATCAGATATTGATCAAGGTGGTGAACTGGGTGATGGGCCAGATATTGATCAAGGTGCTGAACTGGGTGATGGACTAGATATTATTATTATTATTAATTATTATTTTGCTTTTTGGGTTCCACCCGGTGATGCTCAGGGCTGACTCCTGGCTCTGCACTCAGAAATCACCCCTGGCGGTGCTCGGGGGACCCTAGGGGATGCCGGAGATCGAACCTGGGTCTGCCGTGTGCCAGGCCAACGCCCTCCCCGCTGTGCTGTCGCTCCGGCCCTGGGGAACTAAATCTTGATCCAACCGTCTCTCTTGTTCCCTGTCTGTCTGTCTGTCTGTCTGTCCTGTCCTTCCCGCCCTTCCGCGTCCTCCCCCCTCCTCCGCTCCTGCCCCCAGATGGGGTGGCAGCCTTCCGGGCCTTCCTGAAGACCGAGTTCAGCGAGGAGAACCTGGAGTTCTGGCTGGCCTGCGAGGACTTCAAGAAGACCCGCTCCACGGGCAAGCTGGCCTCCAAGGCCCTGCGGATCTTCGAGGAGTTCGTGGACGTCCAGGCCCCCCGCGAGGTGGGCTCTGAGCCGGCCCCGAGTCCCAGCACCTCTCCCTGGGGATGGGGGCAGGTGGGGGGCCTGGGGGGTGCCCAGGGGGGCTTCTCTCTCCGGGGGCCTGAGTAGGAGGGAGTAGTCAGTCGAGTCCGGGCAGGTGCTGGAGTTTCATCTCCAAGATGCTCTGGGGAGCTTGGCCGCGGCTCTGCTCGGTTAAACACGGATCAGCAGGAAGCAACTCCCGGGAGATGTTAGCGCCCGCCCGGGGTGCGTGCAGAACTGGGCCAGAGCTCCCGGGGGGACACAGAAGCTACTTTCGTTTATTCCTTCCTTCTTTCCTTCCTCCCTCCCTCCCTCCCTTTCGTTCCTTCCTTCCTTCCTTCCTTCCTTCCTTCCTTCCTTCCTTCCTTCCTTCCTTTCCTTCCTTTCTCTTTACCTTTCTCTCTTTTTTCTTTCCTTCCTTTCCCTCTCATTCTCCCTTCCTTCTTTTCTTTCTTTCCCTCCCTCATCTCTCTCCCTATTTCTCTTTCTCTCTTTCTTTCTTTCTTTCTTTCTTTCTTCCTTCCTTCCTTCCTTCCTTCCTTCCTTCCTTCCTTCCTTGTTTCTTTCTTTTCCTCCCTTTCCTTTCCTTTCTTTTTCTTTCTTTTCTTTCTCTTTCCTTCCTTTTTTCTCTTTCTCTCTTTCTTTTCCTCCCTTCCTCCCTCCCTCCCTTTCTTTCTTTCTTTCTTTCTTTTCCTCCTTCCTCTCCCTCCCTCCCTCCCTCCCTTCCCTCCTTCCTCCCTCCCTCCCTCCCTCCCTCCCTCCCTCCCTTCCTTCCTTCCTTCCTTCCTTCCTTCCTTCCTCCCTCCCTCCCTTCCTTCCTTCCTTCCTTCCTTCCTTCCTTCCTTCCTCTCTTCCTTCCTTCCTTCCTTCCTGAATCACCTTGAAATACACCATTACAAAACTGTCCATGGTTGGGTTTCAGTCCTACAGTGCTCCAACCCCCGTCCCTCCACCAGGGCACATTCCCCACCACCAATGTCCCTAGTTTCCCTCCTCTGCGGCGGGCACTTTTCCTCTTTCTCTCTCTCCTGGTGTGCATTATGGTTTGCAGGACAGCTACCAAGAGGTCATCGTGCCTGTCCAGCACTTCTATAGGGACAGTAGGCTGGAGTAGTACCGGGTGGCAGCTCCGGGGTGTGGATGTGATTGTCGGGGCCTCTGGGAGTACGGGGAGGTGGGGGAAGGTAGCCCACCCCGGCTCCAAGGAAGCCTGGAGATTTCAGTCATGAAACCCGGAGTTTTCAGCAGGTTGTATCTCAGTGAGGTCTGTCCCGAGATGAGGGGGTCCAGCTGGGCGGGGGCATGCTGGCAGTTTGGGATTGTGGGAAAAGACGCTGTGGGGGACCCTGTTTGGGTGGGAACTGGGGTAACTTGGCCCACTTCGATGTACCTTGATCCCTCCATTCCTTTTTTTTTTCTTGTTGGGTCCCACCCAGCGATGCTCAGAGCTGACTCCTGGCTCTGCACCCAGGAATCACTCCTGGGGGTGCTCGGGGGACCCTAGGGGATGCCGGGGATCGAACCCGGGTCGTCCGCGTGCCAGGCCAATGCCCTCCCCGCTGTGCTATTGCTCCAACTCCCTAAATTATCTCTTTTTTCTTCTTTGCTTTTTTGGGTCCCACCCGGGGATGCTCAGGGCTGACTCCTGGCTCTGTGCTCAAGGATCACTCCAGGTTGGGCTCGGGGTGCTATAAGGATGGGTCCCACCCAGCCATGCACAGGGATGACTCCTGGCTCCACACTCAGGAATCACTCCTGGCGGTGCTCAGGGGACCCTAGGGGATGCCGGGGATCGAACCTGGGTCAGCCATGTACATCGCCAAACGCCCTCCCCGCTGTGCTACGCTCCAGCCCCTCAATGCCTCTATTCTTTGATGTCACTTGCTAGACTTCAGAACTGCCACGAGAACTCTCCCTGTGCTCAGGGGGTCACCTAAGAGAGTCAGATGCAAGTTCCCTCGACGACACTCTTCCCTAAAAGAGTGGGGAAGGGGTCAGCTCGGAGGACCAGCCCCAGCTGCCTGGACCCGGGGGGGGGGCATAACCCCCACTCTCTTGCCTGTCTCTCCAGGTAAACATCGACTTCCAGACCCGAGAAACCACCAGGAAAAACATCCAGGAACCGTCTCCGACCTGTTTCGACCAGGCACAAGGCAAAGTGCACAGTCTCATGGAGAAAGACTCTTACCCCAGATTCCTGAGGTCCAAGATGTACTTAGATTTGCTGTCTCAAAGCCAGAGGCGGCTCAGTTAGGGCCCCGGAGGGAGTCGGTGGCCAGGACCATAGTCTAGAACATGAAGCACCCTGTGAAGGGGGTTCCCCGAGTCAGTGAGGCGGGCTGGGAGGTCGGGGGTGGAGGGGTGTCCCCCAGCCACCCCCGGTCATGGGCCCACATCCCTTCCTGTTTTATTTAGTGTCCACTGGGCCAGCCGCTCACCCTCTATCCGTCCACGGGTGCCCTCTGCGTCTGGCCCGTCTGTATATAACCCCCCGTATGATTTCCCATGGGCCGGAGCGACAGCACAGCGGGGAGAGCGTTTGCCTGTCACGCAGCCGACCCGGGTTCGATTCCTCCGTCCCTCTCGGAGAGCCTGGCAAGCTCCCCGTGGCGTCTTCGAGATGTCAAACACAGTAACAAGTCTCACCATGGAGAAGTGACCGGTGCCCTCTTGAGCAAATCGATGAACAACGGGACGACAGTGGACAGTGGACGATTTCCCACCCCGAGTCCACACGGTCCTCGGGAGTTTGACCCTGAGACGTGTCCCCTGCTCCCCGCCAGGAATAGCTAGGAGGACCTGGTCACCGCTGGTCATCACTAGAGCCCAGGTGGGCACGCCCTTGAAGGGAGAGATTCAGGAGGAACCCCAGGGCCGTGATGACGGATGCCATCTGGAAGGACGGATGAACCCCACGGAGCTGCTTCTTCCCTTCCTCTGGGGTCACAGTGAAAGGTCAAGGACACTGACTGTGTTCGCTTGGGAGACATTTCAGACGCCCCTAACTTGGCTGGGCCGTTCCAGAGGCTTCTTGGGCAAAGCCTTCCTGACTCTCAGAGGGGGAGTGCCCAAGAAGATATCCAGGCCCTCGTGTCCGTCTGTCCCACCAGGGAGCTTCGCTGGAAATGCAGTGACCGCAGGAGTCGGTGGAGGTGGGGATGAAACCCGGGACTTTCTGCGACTTCACACCCCCTCTGCCCTGGCCTCCCAGTGGACCCTGCGTGTGGCTGGACTCCGAGAACCGTGGAGACTGAGGCAGAAGGAGGTGACCCTCAGAATCCTGCACCTGTGTTCCCCATCCGTCCTTCGGTGCTGGTCACTCAGCATTACCGAGCCGCAAGTCCCCAGCCCGCTCCGGGCACCATCTCATCTCTCTACCCCTTTCCTCCTGCGTCTCCTCACGTTTTGGACTTGGACCCGGGTCTAGGGGGCAGGGGGGAGGTCTGAGTGAAGACGTCTGGGGGTGGAGGACGTTCCTCAGATGCCCGCGGGGGTCCCGAAGTGTGTCCGGAAGCTCCCTCGGAGGTGGGTAAGAGCTGCCAAGCCCACCCAGCAGACCCTGGAAACAACACCGGCCGGGGAGGATGCAGGGAGGCAGAACCGGGAGACCGAGTCACCAAGATCTGGGTATCAGGGAATCATTCTCAGGCCGTGGAACGGGATTCCCGTGGGACATCCGTGGACTGGAGCCCGTGTGAAGTCTCGGGACTGGAATTCACGTGGAGTCCGTGGACAGGGGTTCACATGGGAAGTCTGGGGGCTGGAACTCGCGTGGGAAGTCCGTGGTTTGGGATTCACGTGGAGTCCGTGGATTGAGATTTTCATGGGGGTCTATGCATTGGGACTCACACAAAAGTTCGTGGACTGGAATTCCCCGCGGAGTTCGTGGGTTGAGTCACACCAGAAGTCTGTGGCCGTGACCTCTAGCACAGGTGGCCTGACTACAAGAAGCCCCCCGACGGTGTGTCCCCGTCTCCTCTGCCGGCATCCCGACATCCTCCTTCTGTCAGTGACACGGTGGCTATTTCCTTCCTGGCAACAAGGGACTCCTGTGCTGCCGGTGTTTAAAACCCCTGGGCTTCGTGTCCGTCCACACCACTGGAGAGAAATAACACACAAGGTCCCTCCGGCAACCCTGCAGCCCCGAGGGGGCGTTCCTCGTTAGATCAGGCGGTATTCCCTGCACCCCTCACTCCACCACCACCACCACACCCACCCACCAGGTCCAAACAACCCTCCACACACCACATACACACACACACACACACACACACACACACACACACACAGCAGACGCTGCCACCATCCGGGCACAAAATGGGCACACCTCTCCTCTCCAACAGGGTATGTAGTGGAACCCTGTTTACACTGGCAGGGCCGGCAGAGCTGCGGGGGGTGGGGGTGGGGGTGGGGTGGGGTGGGTTCTCAGGAGAAGACTCAGAAATCGGGGCGTCCCAGCTCACGCTCGAGTCCCCCCACCAAGCGGAAGGTGAGGTCCCAGTGCCCGGCGACACCCTCTCACCTGAGGGACCGTGAGCGCCAAGCCTGGATCGCGTCTGGGGTCTCACTTGCTCAGTGAGGTGTCCGGGCTGGAACACGCACACGATGCTTTTGTGACCTCTGTGTGTGCGTGCGTGCGTGCGTGTATGTGTGTGTGTGAGTGGGTCTACATACAGGGGCACACCCCAGATGTGGGCTTCTCTCCCCTGGACCTCCTGGTGAGGCAGAGACCCCCGCCCGACTCGGACACTGACTTTCAGGTCACCCCTGCCCCAAATCCTTCCCCTCGACCCCTGAACCCCCCCAACCCCCCGATTTGGTCTGTGATGAAACCAAGAGTAATGTTTACACTTGTAGAGCAATAGACAAGCATACCTCAACCCCGACCCCATGTGTCTGCGGCCCGTCCCTCTCTCCCCAAGTGGGCTCCACCCCCGTTAGCCGCTGCCCTCCGCTCCCTGCCCACCCCAGACCCTCTCCCAGGGTTCCAGTGCCCAACTGGGGGCTCCCTCTGGGCTTGGGGGCTTCTTCTCGGTTCCCTGGATCTGAGAACGGCGCCCCCTGACCACCCCCCTCCCCGAGGTCCTGAGATTCTTGGTAACGTTCTGCCCCACCCAGGTGAGGAAATCTCGGGTGCTGAGGTAAGGAGGGACCCCCCCCCCGATATTAGAAACTCAAAACCCTCAGGAAGTCCCCCCCCCACACACACCTCCTCAGTCATGTGGACTTGGGGGTCCAGGGACTCGGATTTTCTGAGATGGGGGGCTCTTTGGCACCCCGTCCCCAGGGCGTTGAAGATGCCCCAACTTGATTAGGTGAGGGACCCCTGAGTCTGCGCCCCCCCACTTCTAGAAAAGCTATTATCCAGGTAACAGACGGCACCTCCCTCAGAAGTGAGGCGTGCGGGGGGAACTCATGCATGGCCAAACGGAGCACAAGGAGGGAGCCCCACTCGGGGTCTTGACTCTGGGGTGCCTGCCTGGTGCCTCTCCGTCCAACAGGCTCCTGGGAGGTCAGAGACTGGGCGGCACCATGGTTCATCCTGGTCTCCCCAGGGTGCTGCTGCCTCCAAGCTGCCCTCCCGGGTTTCCCTTCCCTGTCCCACCCAAATGGCAGGAACTCAGGTCGAGCGTGAGGTGAGGTGGTGTGTAGGAATCACAGTGGTGGGGGGTCTCAGGGAGGGATGGGGATTCAGGGGGGTAGCAGGGGACATCCAGGGGAAGGCCCTCCAGGCGCTGGGCAGCCGGAAGCCCCCCAAATCATCTCTCCCTGGTGCTCCCCCAGTTTCTGCTGCTCAGAACCAACCAAAGCGGGCACGAGGGCTCTGCCTGGCGCCCCTCTGCAGCAAGCTCCCAGTGGGGGTCTCAGGGCCGGGGACGGCAAAAGAAGGGGGCCAAGAAGAAACGGGGGTGCACGCCCCCCTGCACACCAGGCTCCCGGCTTCCCAGCCCTCAGCCACGGGCCAGCCACCCCCAGTCTGCGACCCTCCAGTGATGGGTGGGATCTCCAGGTGGGCAGGCCGGCTGGGGACCACCAGCTCACTTCTGGGCTCCCCAATGCTGCTGCTGGAGCCTCCAGGGGTGCAGCGGGATGGGCCTGGGGACGGGCCTCCCTGCAACTACCCTCGACCCTTCCTGCCCTCTGACCCCCGGAGCAACACCCCCCAATTCCTGCCAGGTGCAGGGAAGGCGGCCCGGGCTGCAGCCACGCGACCCCCCTCCACAGACTGGCCACAGCTCCCCTGCCCTGGACGCCCCGGCTGACGGCACCCCCGAGCTGTGTCCTCCCCCCACGCAGAGGGAGGGTCACTCAGCTTCACTCTCCTCAAGGCTGTGAACCTATTAAACCTCCTCGACGCTGCTGGGCTCGGCTGCGTTTCTGCTCCCGCGCGGGGTGGGTGGGGCCTGTGGGGCAGTGGGTGGGGCCTGTGGGGCAGTGGGTGGGGCCTGTGGTGGTGGATGGGTGGAGCCCGCGGTGATAGGTGGAAACTTGGTGGTGGGAGGGGCCGGTGGTAGTGTGTAGAGCCCACGGTGATAGGTGGAGCCTGCTTTGGTGGGTGGAGCCCATAGTGATACGTGGAACCTGCAATGATGGGTGGAGCCTTGATGGTGGGTGGAGCTAGAAGCAGTGGGTGGAGCCTGTGGTGGTGGGTGGAGCCCACAGTGATAGGTGGAACCTTGGTGGTGGGTGGAGTCTGCAGGGGTGGGTGGAGCTAGAAGCGATGGGTGGAGCCTGTAGTGGTGAGTGGAGCCCATAGTGTAAGAGGAGCCTGCAGTGATGGGTGGAGCCTTGGTGGTGGGTGGAGCCCACAGTGATGGGTGGAGCCTGCAGTGATAGGTGGAACGAGAGGTGGTGGGTGGATCCTGTGGTGGTGGGTGGAGCCTACAGTGATGGGGGAGCTAGAGGTGGTGGGCGGAGCCTGCCGTGGTGGGCGGAGCCTGCCGTGGTGGGTGGAGCCTGCCGTCGTGGGCGGAGCCTGCAGTGATGGGTGGAGATAGAGGCGGTGAGTAGAGCTCACAGTGATAGGTGAGCCTGCAACGATGAGTGGAGCCTGTGGTGATGGGTAGAGCCTGCCGCGGTGGGTGGAGCCTGCAATGATGGGTGGGGTCTGGGGTGGTGGGTGGAGCCTGTCGTGGTGGGTGGAGCCTGCAATGATGGGTGGAGTCTGCAGTGATGGGTGGAGCCCACGGTGACAGGTGGAGACTGCAGGCAGGAAGGAAGGACCTGGCCTGCAGGTGGGCGCAGAGGATGGCC